TACCGGGATCGCAACCCTTGGCACTGCCCCCGCGCCTCGCTCAGCCAGTGAGCGGGAACCGGTCTGTATGTGGGATCCGAACCCTCGGCGGGAGCGCCGCCGTGCTTCCCAAGCGGCGCACTAGCGCAGTGCGCCACCGGGCTGGCCCTCCAGTGACTACTTTTAAATTTATTTTTATTTTTGGGGGGACCTTGGGATAGGATTTGCTCGGCCCCTGCAAGTCCATATTTAGCATAGTTACCATGAGGCCTGCGAGGAAATGCTCTTTGCCTCCCAGGACCAGCCAGGCAGGTGCAGGGGACAGCATAAGCATGGTGTGGCTGCCAGCTTTGCCCTCAGACACTCTGGCCCTGCACTGAGCAGTCACCAGGAGGCAGTGGGCCTGGTGAGCTGGACACCAGCCTGGGGAGGGACCAGAGAGAGCTGAGTAGTGAGCCGCCTGCCCCTCCTGTGCACCCCTGCCTTGTCCATAGGGTCCAGCTACTTCTTCTGATGTGGCCTCGTGCTGCCCGTGTCTGCACTGATCCTGCCCGGTGCCAGCCTGCCCACATCTGATTCCTGTGGCCAAGCAGAGCTAAGAGGCTGGAGCCAACATCCCGCGAACTTGAGAAGTACGGCTTAGCTGAGCCTCTGTGTTTTGACTTCTTGCTCCGGGACAGCAGCTGGAGACTTAGGTTTCCTTTTCATAGGGGCTTTGTCTTCTAGATGTTCAGGTGGGCGCCACCCGCTTCCAGGCTGCTGCACTCTGAACTCTGGTTTGCCCGAGCCACCACAAGCTATCGGAACTACGCCTTTGACACCAAGTCACTTTTGCCGTTGGGGGATGACTCTGAGCTCCTGGGATCCGAGAGCAGCCTGGGGGACGGCCTGCTGCCCTCCTGGAGTAGGGCAGGAAGAGCTGCTGCAGCTGCCCACTGGCTCCACAAGGCCACACCCATCTGAATTTGAGGAGAAAGGGACCTCTGCTGGCAGCTCAGCAGTGACAAGGTCCACATGCTGTCTTTTCTCTGGGCCCAGAGCTGTATGGAGCTTGGCAGGGGACAGTTGCACCGATGCTGCCAGGGACTGGCCACCCCTGCCCTTCCTGGCTTTTGCACCCAAGAGCAGGTTCAGCTGAGCCAAGTATGCCCAAAGATGGGTGTGGTGTGTGGTTCCATCGCCGCCCCGCAGCCCAGCTCCTCTCTTGGCTCTGAGGTCCCAGACCTGGGCTGTTTGCTGGTCAGCCACTGGGGGCACGCAGGAGAGGAGGTGCTGAGGGCAGGAGTTACGGGAGACCTGGCTGCGGACCCTGCTCACTGGGCTCTGTGCTGGCTGCCCAGAGACGGGGTGGTGGGGCCACCCCTCAGGCCCTGGGTAGGGCATGAGTTTGCACTCTTCCTGCCCTGGGTTGGCTCATCTCTCCTTGCAGCACCTGTTGCATGTCCCACAGCCTGTCCATGCAGACACAGTCTGGCAGTGGGAGAGGAGCATAAACGACTGTGATGCAGGGAGCCTACAGGAGGAGCCCTGTGTGGGAGAGGGCAGGGGCTTCAGAGGACCCCTGGGGTCCTGGGAGACTGGGAGGGAGGATGCCCCACCCAGGAAGAGCCATATGGGGACATGAGAGGTGGTCAGCTCACCTTGGGCTTCAGGCAGACTCCATGTGACCACGACACCCCCCGAAATGCCTGCACATTTGTGGGCCGTAAACACTGCTAGGACAGAGCTGCAGCTTCTGTGCGTCCCACATGGTGCGTGCTCCGTGTTTCCTCCTCGGGGCCCACTGCCTTCCCGTGTCGCAGCCCTCCCTGTGGTGCTGGGTCTTTGATCACACTGTGTCCGCCCACGAGATGTCCATGCCCCGTGGGGCCCGGTCTCCCGGTGGGGGGTGTTTGAGGTCCCAGCCTGCAGCTGGGGTCGCTCTTGGGTCAACTTTGCTTCTTGACCTTCTTTGTGGCCAGAGCTGGGAACTTCATATTTTGAAAAGAAAAGAAATGGTGAATTTTGAATTCAAATGTGACATTATAGGGTCTTAACTATCCTCTTTGAATGGTGCGTAAGACCTCTTTGTAGCTTCATTGTTGTTAGATTAGAATCCTCTAAGGAAGCACCTTTAAACTAAGGGCTTCCGCAGTCTCTTCAGCTGATTCTCTTCCCATGTGCGCTGTCACCAACCGCACACGCCGTTAGGCTCATTTGTTTTACGTTGTTTGCAGTTTTAAGGAATTCTTTCTTATGTTTATCTAATTTTATTTTTTGAATATGTAAACCTTATATGTGATCAAAAAAACAAAACGGTGTCACAAGATGTGGTTAGACACGTCCTGTTTCCATCTCCTTTCCTCGCTCCTCTTTTCTCCCTTTCCATAGGGCTCCGTTTTTGCTAGTGCTGGTTTATGCTTTCATTGATTCCCTTTGCAATTGTGAGTGTGCATTTGTGTGTGCATGTGTGCACATGCGTGCAGTGTGTGCGTATG